TTACTTTGACGACATATCTATACCCGAAGGTAAACTTGACTCGTCTTTTTCATTTATTTCAACATGAATCCCATACACACACTACTCACACACTGTAAATCGAAAAAATATGATGAATACCTCAATACTAATTTTTATTGCTTTCAGAAAACGATAGGGAAGACCCCTGCTACACTGTTCGATTCTTGAATACTGTGGGCAAAATATTTTTTCTTATCTGTTGTTGCTGCATAGAAAACGAGCAGGGAAGAGTTTTTTTTTTTTTTTTTTTTGTTCTCCTCTTTTCCAATGGTGCCTTCTCTTCTAATTTTTTTTTTCGGTTGTTGAACCCTCCTCCCTCTTTATTTCCGAATCATTCCCCCCCCCCATTTCTTTGTTCTTCAATGCCTCCCCCTGCTGTTCATGAACCTCCTTCCTCGAATGTCCCTGCTGTTCGTGAGCCTCCTCTCCAATGTCCAGCCCCTCTCGTTTTATCAATACTTTCTTTACCGAATACTTTGTCTGCATGTTGATTTTCTCTGTGTTTGGTGATATTTGGTTGAGCAAGTATTGACTTTGTGTAGAATATGGACACTTAACAAAACATGGGTGGCCAGCAAATATTAGTGGTGGCAGTATAATAGAGTTAGTGCTCCATTAATAGACTGCTAGTGCAGAAACAACATGGTGTGGGCTGGCGTGAGGTACTGTGCGGCCACATGTGCTGGTGAGTGCTTGTCTCCTAGCTGAAACATGTTTTTCCAACGTGTATATGTCTCCATGTTCATAAAAAATCTGTTCCCAACGTGTATATTGTGCAAAGTAAAAACAATTTTTTTGTTGAAATTCGTAAATCCCGTATTCAGCTTGCACAGTCTTTATCTCTCTGAGCGTATCTCGAGCTATCGATATCGGATTGATGCGATTCAAAGTGCGTTGGAAATCTAAGAGATAATGGAATAATTGTTAAGAAGACTTCAACATCCAAATATGTTTGGAACATGTTCAAAATTGGCGATACATCTGAATGTCGTGATCTGCCCACTGGACAATTTCCAGCTTGCACTGTCTTCATTAATTTAACCATATCTCGAGCTCCAAATATCGGATTGATGCGGTTCAAAGTACGTTGGAAAGCTAAGAGATGATTGAATAACTGTTACGAAGACATCAGAAACCGAAGATGCTTAGAACATGTTCAAAATTGGCAATTTCCATGGCTGTCGTGCACTGTTTGTAATTTGGGACCTGAATTGTGCTTGGCGTACCTTGGCCTGCAAAATGATAACATAAACAACTTTAACATTATTATTAATAATAAAATAATATAATAATAATAATAATGATAGTATCCCGGACAAAACGGGTGTCTACACACTGATTCTACCCACTGGAAAAAATTTCAAGAAATAATTTCTTGCAAAATCAAAACTTACCTCTTTCGATTGACAACACCCATAATTTTTTCCCTTTACTTCATGGCTTATTAGAAATTCAAATGGGAGCTTTCATTCCACAATGACATTCCACGACCATTGAACCGTAACGAGGCCTTGAACTTCCACTTGACATCCTTCACTCCCTACCTGCAGATTCCCAGAATTAACTTAGGATTCTTCAATTAAATTTCATTAAAAGGGTGGAGAAGAATGGGAAGAGAGTGACGGGGCACAGAAAGAAGGGGAAGAGAGAAAAATTATTTAAGGTTAAAGGTAAATAGGTTTTTTCCCTTGTTTTCAATTTCAATTAATTAATTTGTTATTATTTTAATTACAAAATTCATTTTTGACTATTATACTCATGTCATGTAGCATTTTGCGTCCCAAATTAACTGCTTATCACGGCCAGACACCAAAATGAGTTACGGAATGAAACATTTGTCCCAAATTAGACCCAAAAAAACGTAGGCACCAAATTGAAAAAAGAGGCATAAATTGAGCACATTTTTTACTATTAAGCCTTTATTTAATAAATATATAAACTTTAAATTTGTAAAAAAAAAGTATATTTTTATTTATTATTTTAATAGTTTAATAATATTATAATTTATTACACCTCTTCCGATCTTCTTTCAAAAACAAATTTTCTATGATTGAAGTCCTCCAAAATAAGAAGAGATTTTCGTCATAAATTCCGAAGTCTCACATCTCCTAACCAATTACATGTTTTTGATATAATTTGTTATATGTACATATATATATAATTAAATTTATTATCAGACGATTATATTAGTTCAATCTATTAACTTACGAGTAATTATTATGATTTAAACTTAACACGAATAATAATATTTATTGTAAAAAATTTAATCAAGATTAAGATAAGACTTTTGATGAAGATTTCTTTTCCTTTCTCTTCTCAAATTATTTTTAATTTTTTTTCATCAAGTAACTTGAATTATATTTAATTTAATCATGAATCATCGAGTATCATTTCTTCTTATCTAAATTAGAAAAATAAATCATTTATAATAATCACAATTTAAATATTACTGTCAATATAAGTGCAATTAAAATACAAAATAATTCGATTGTAATTAGATGGGAAGAACATGATCATCACCTCAACCTACTGGTTCTCCATGGCTATACATCATCTCCATTATGACTTTTGGGGATGTCATCATGATAATGCGCAACGAAAAGAAAAGCTTTTAGTCTATTCTTTTTCTTAAAACGTTCACGTTTGTGACTTCGGCTATCACCGTCCACCGTTTTATTACTCTTACTTCGTGGCTTGAAAACAATATTTGATGAACCCTGTGTAATTTATCAATGAACCAACATGTTGGTTTAAGAGGTAAAATATCAAATTTGAGTCTTTATATATGTAAAAAAATTTGTTAAAAAATCCTTCACCAAAATTAAATATACGATACGGATCAGTTTAGATTAGTTAAAACTAAACCTTAAAATTGAGAGTATAAAAAAGTTTCATCAATTAGATAATAATAATAATAAAATATAAAGATTGGTTTAACTTTAAAATAATAAAGAGTCAATATAATTATTTAGCAGTAGAATTTTAAAACCATAAATATCGAAGTAGACAGTGGCACACATGTCTAGTTTCTACGGAGACGGCGGTGCTAAACTAAACAACAATTTCGCTTTGCAATTTGAAATAATAAAATTGAGGGACTAAAAAGATCATTATGATTCCATGTCTTTCTCCCTCCGTTCGGCCGCTACCAACAAAAGCACTGTTTTGATTTCCACAGTTCGTCTGAGGCAGCCAAAACCATAACAAACCCAGAAAAACACAGACCAATCTTTGTCTTTTGAGAAAATGGGTGTAACGAGTCCACTCAAAGGCCCAACTCGCTCTCGTTCGTTCACCACTAAGTTGTTGCCTTATGTTCTTTATGCTTCCTTCTCAATAGCTCTCTGTCGCTTCTACTTTCATTTTTTCCCTTTCCTTGTATCCAACCGCATCATTCTCACTTCTTCTTCTTCTTCTTCTCCTTCTCCTTCGCCTCCCTCTTTATCTTTCTTCAGAGGTACATGCTGTGAAGAAACAAAAGTTGTCACTTTTTTTTATCACTTTTTCGATTATGGGTGGTATTATTATTGAATAAGTTTCGATCTTTATCTGTTCTTGCTTATTTTGCAGAAGAAGAAACTGCTTATGAGACTCCATGTAACTACACCAATGGAAGATGGGTCCATGACAAGATGGGGCCTCTATACAATGGCACAACCTGTGGTACTATCAAAGACGGTCAAAATTGCATCTCACATGGGAGAGCAGACTTGGGTTACCTTTACTGGCGATGGCAACCGAACCAATGCCAGCTCCCAAGGTTTGATCCCAACACTTTCTTCAACCTTGTTAGCAACAAGCATATAGCTTTTGTAGGTGACTCTATGGCTAGGAACCAATGGGAATCACTCCTTTGCATGCTGGCCACCGCCTCAAATCCCAACCCGATTTACACGAACGGGGAGGATAACAAGTTTCGTACATGGCACTTCGATTCTCATAACGTTACCGTATCGGTTTATTGGTCGCCTTTTCTTGTTAGAGGTGTTGAGAAATCGAAAGATGGTCCGGATCATAATGAATTGTATGTTGATGTTGTTGATGACAGGTGGGGATCTGATTTGGACCATTTAGATACGGTTGTACTCTCAGTAGGCCATTGGTTTCTTCATCCTGCTGTCTATTATGAGGGTGGCTCTGTTTTGGGTTGCCATTACTGCCCTGGATTGAACCACACCGAGATAGGCTTCTATGGTGTGATGAGGAAGGCAATAAAGACCGCTCTCGAGACGATAATCGAAAGGAAAATGGGTAGTGGTTGTGGAATCGATGTGTTTTTAACCAGTTTTTCTCCTTCACATTTTGAAGGCGAATGGGATAAGGCTGGTGCTTGTCCGAAGACAGAGCCTTACAAGGAAGGAGAGAAGATGGTTGAAGGAATGGATGCGGATATGAGATCGATCGCGGTCGAAGAAATCGAAGCCGCCAAAGTGAATGCAAAGCAATTTGGAAGGTTGAGACTTGAGATATTGGATGTGACCAAATTGTCATTAATGAGACGAGATGGTCATCCGGGGCCTTATATGTATCGGTTTCCGTTCGCCGATGGAGTTCGAGAACATGTTCAAAACGACTGTGTACATTGGTGTCTTCCGGGTCCGATCGATACTTGGAATCAGATAATGTTACATGTTATCAGAAGATGGAGGGGAGGAGAATGAGGGGCGAGGCAAATACGATACAAAATTCAGGGTTTCGATTTCATTCTTGCTGTCCAGCTGTATTTATCACATCAACAAAGACATTTTTTTAATAAAACTTATCTTTGTTTATATGAGAGAAAGTGGTATCAGTTCAAAGAGTAATTGAATAGAAGTGTTAAAATAACTCAAATCATTAAAAATAAATGAAGATATACGACTTGTGGGAAGAATAAAACACGTGCCTTCAGGAGACATGGATGGATTTGGTTCGCCCGTCAACTGATCAGATTGGCCATCTACTTCGTGTTCTTTGCAAGACCACAAAATCGCAACCAAACTCTCAAATGAAAAAAAAAGGGAATGCTTTCAGTTAAAAAACGTTTTCCACCACAGTTTTTAGATGATGTTTTCCAAAATTATCTCATCAACAACAGATTCTGATCTAAAATAAGCTCACAGTTTCTATGGCAGCAGCAGCACTTAAACTATCTCCTTGCTCAGATCTCCAACCACAGTACCAGCGCTTCCGAACCGAATTAAAACCCACCAAAGTTCAATCCTTTAACTCATCTAGAAACCCTCTTCTTCCCCTCCGCAAACTCCATCGTCACGGCTTCAAATGCTGTCTCCCTTCTTCTTCCTCCTCCACCAACTGCATCGCTCCCACTCACTACTTCTCCTTCCTCGACGAACCCTTAAGGGGAAGCCGCGTTTTAACAAACGAAGAGCTCGAAAAGTTCAAAACTTTGGAGTCTTTCGTCTATCTTCAACAGTTGGAATCTGGGTCGTTGTGGGTTCGGGTCATGAGGACCGAGGAAATGGATTTGACCGTCGGGTTGTTGGCTTTGTCATTCGCCGAGTCAGTGTTCATGTCTTTGCAGTACGAGGCTTTGTTGAGATTCTTCGTGAAACAGTATTTGATGGAGAGGAGAGCTTCCATGCCACATGCTGTCACTCTAGTTGGGTTCTATAGAGAGGACGGTGGGAAGAGAGGAGAGCAACTGGCTGGAACAGTGGAGGTTTGCTTCGACAAAAGGGGTGCTAATGCTTCTCCTCCTACACCTACAGCTCCTAAGAATTCTCCATATATTTGTAACATGACTGTCACAAAGGAGCTTAGAAGGTAAAAAAAAAAGTTTTCTTTTATTGTACTTTTGTATTAGTTTCCTCTGTTCCTTGTTTGGTGGATATTAGTGGAAGGGAATAATGACATGATGTTGGATTTGTCATGTTAATGTGCTCAATATGTTCTAAGTTGAGTTTGTTCATTTGGATAGTGGTTCTACACACTAGTAGGGTCAAAGATTATTGTTAGGTTAACTAATAAGTGAAAATAAAATGTGGCATTTGTAATGTTGAAGCCATTTTAGGACTAAAAATTTACTCTTGTAGTCAACAAGCGCTCTCATTGCAGGTTGAACTTAGTAACAAAGGCCTCTTTTTTTTTTTTTTATCTAATTCTTGGTGTTTGCATTTGAATCATATAGGAGGGGGATTGGTTGGCATCTTCTCAAAGCAAGTGAGGAGCTAATATCTCGAATGACTTCTTCAAAAGAGGTGTACTTGCATTGCAGAATGATCGATGAGGCTCCATTCAACATGTACATAAAAGCAGGATACAATGTTGTTCAAACGGACAGTATATTTATCTTGCTGACATTACAGAGACGTAAGCATTTGATGTGCAAGAAACTCCCGGTTTCTACCAGTTTCTCAGAGTCAGATATGTTGGAATCCGGTGAGGAACATCTCTCATAAATGTATAAGTTGAAATCATACTGTAATCATACCCGTTTGAGATAAGAGCTGTTCGAGTCACACATAAAACCCATTTTTTTTTACTGAAACTCTTACTCCCGCTTCTCCTTTTGTTGCTCATTGTCATAAACCTGTCATTTTTTTTTCTGCTTGTTGGAGGAGATGATTTTGTTCTTATATCTTTTCTGCCACTCTGTCTCTTTTCATAGTCCCTAATGGAGTTCAAAAAGCTTGCTAGGATCATTCATTTCAGTGGATGTGGTACTAGGAATTCAATGGCTACTTAAAATATCTCATTGTGTTTAGTTTATGACTCATCATGTGCATGGTAGAGCAGACTTGAAGAGTAAACTGCATCCAGCATATCCATTGCTTGTCACTTTTTCTCAAGTTATTGTCTTATACAAACTTCTAATGCACTTCTTCTCTCTTGCTTCGTTAACATGTTTTTGAGCACGAACTTATGATCAGGGAAGGGATAAAATGAGATGCCTTTCTATGCGCTTTCATTATTGTTGGTGCAAACTAAATCAAAGACCGCTATTTGTTATCATTTTTGTGTGTGCAAAATACTTATTTAAGTGTGTTCACACAATGTACAATACATAGAATTAGCTGCATTAAGCAAAATATTAACAAATAAATTGGTGATGATAACTAGAACAAATACGGGGATATATTATCTCTTCAACATGAATCCTACTAATATTTCTTTTGTTTCGACTCATAGATGACTCAAATACCTTGTCTCTTTGAGTCCTCTTATCAAATTTACCCGGTAATAGTGTTTGCTCTTAACTCATGGCGTCCTTATTGTTGATATGATACAGTTTTACTGCTGGTTAGAAAATTGCATTTCTCAACCCATCCTAAAAGGCATGCCCTAGGCCTTTTGCATTTGCACAGAAAATCAGTTGCAGTTCTTTAACACATTCTGGCATTGAGGGTCGCTCTCTGCTCTCAACACGGACACAGCGTGATGCTTGGCTTGCAAACATTACTATAGATTCGATTGTGTATGAACTTCAAGCCATCTCTGGGTCAATCACCTTACGTAATTTCTTCCTATCATTCAGTATGTGCTTAACCTGTAACATAGACCACGACCGCCAACTTATTTGTTGCAAGTCCTTGAAACCTTAGAGCCATAACCTCTTTGAATTATAAGCTGTTATTACCTATAACATACCTGGGCTACAAGGTTTCGGTCACTTGCTCCCTGGTTTAAGTCTACAGCCCTGTGTCCCGTCAGGAGCTCTAGAAGAACCACTCCGAATGCATAAACATCACTCTGTAAAGTTAATTTTCCTGTCTATCATAAGAGAAGACAGATGAAAAACCGAGATCATGCTTGTTGTTGCTAACCTAATTTAAAATGTAACATCTAGTATTTTTTCTGATGAAAGTTAAATAATTGGATATTTGTTGTATATGAGTTTGCTTTCCTAGTATTTTAGACTTATCTATACTTTTTGTTAGGAATTAGAAGAGAAATGTAGGGAGTAAGTTTATGACATGAAGATGAATACTGATGTATACTGGCCTACTGGGGATCGAAATATCCAAATGTGCCAAGAACTCTTGCAGTCATATCAATCTCTTGACGCTCTGGCATCAGTTTGGCTAGTCCAAAGTCTGATATCTGCAAAAAGAGTAGTAAATCGAGTTTTAGTGATGAATATGCTTTATAATGTCAATTCTGGCCGAAAAGTTTGTAAGTTTTTTACCTTTGCTTCGAAGTTGTCGTTTAGATGGACATTTGTGGACTTGAAATCTCTGTGAACTATAGGAATTCCAACTGCAGAATTAGAATGGAGATAAGCAAGTCCCATAGATGCATCGATTGCCACTTTGAGCCTTGAAGGCCAATCCAGTTTCTTTTCACAAATACCTATTTTAGCTGTTTATGATTTGATAGATGTTAGATGAATGAGGGACTGGGTTGGGAACAGACTCGAGTAGAAACCTACCACTTAAGTGATCTTGCAGGTTCCTTTTTGCATGTATTCATAGACTAGAAACCGGTGCTTCCCGTCTGCACAATAAGCTATCAACGAAACCAGGTTCGGATGGTCAAGTCTGCTCAAGATATCAATTTCAACACGGAATTCACGTTCTCCTTAAGCTACTTTGGATGGCGGCAGCTCCATTTTCTTGATTGCAACAACCTTAAGAATACAGAAAGAGAACTTTTGTATGTTTTCTTTACTCTTTGGTTCATTACCGCCTATTGAAGCATAACTATTGCATGGAACAAACAAAGCTATTGCTACACAAACATTAGGAAAAATAATAAATACCTCCCTTGATTGTAGAGTGCCCTTGTAGACTCGGCCAAACCCTCCTTTCCCGAGCAGATTCTTGTCACTGAAAGAACGCGTTGCCTCCTCCATCTCCTTAAGGGTGAAAATTGACGACCCGTGACGACGTTTTGTTTGCTGGGGCATTTGATCCTCAATTCCCCAGTACTCTGCAGGTTTATGTCCCTGAAAGTAGGAATGGAAGATATTGGAACCTTTAAAAAAAACACTGCAAAAGGATGAACAGGTTATCATGTGAAGGAAAATAAAATACAAGGGTCGGTATGATCCCGGGTGTTGCATCTCCGGCGTTTTTTCCATGCTGAGGCGAAGCGGAGAGGCATTGTATCTCCTTCCTCGGATGGAATCACCTGTGCTTGATGATTGAACCGACAGATTAATGCTTGAACAATATGAATAGAAGGAAATGATTCTCAGGATGTGCCTGAAAAAGAGGTATAGACCATTTTTTGCAACAAACATATATCAGATGGAGAGTTGGCACTTGAAGGAAAAGAAAAGGCAGGTGAAAGGGAAAAAGAAAGTTGGTTTTGAAATTGAATCCACTACTGCTATTACTCTCTTTCTCCATGCAGTTTTCTTTTGCCTTTTTGTTGGGTTTTGAAAGGAGATTTTGAGGGTAGCCGTTGAGAGGATGCTTTCATTGATTTGTTTTAGTGGCATTCTCCATGATTATTTTCTTCCAAACTCAAATCTCTCACTACCAATTTTAGAAATTCAAAAACATTACTGTTGTTATGAAAATGACAACGTAAGGGATTGGTCCTTATTTTATTTGATTGTTACAGCAATGTGAGGGCCTAAGAATCCACCAATTCTTCCTTTCAGGTATGCATTAGATAGCATCATTTTATCATCTAATAACTGAGTTCTTACTTCTTATAAATAGGGTCGAGTATTCGATCGAGTTAGGTGAAAATTTTCAAATTAATTGAATTTATGAATATCATTTATCATTCAGGCTTTATTTATTTTTTTAACCTGAATTGAATAAATTTATTTGAGTTTATATTGAAATTCAAATACAGGTATTTACAATATCATGGTAATGATGGAATCTCTCAAAAGTATACATATATTTTTTTATATTTTTTATATGGATAAATAAGATTTACAATATTATTTAATAATTCAAATATTATATAAAATTATATAATATAATCATAATGTTTTTTTTAATAAGAGATTTTAAGGACAAAATGAGAGTATGAAAAAGTTAACAAGTTGACGGGATTAAAGACTGTAAAAAGTTGTAGTCAGAAAACCAAATTGAATAAAATGTAAAGATTGAAGATAAAATCGAAGAAATATATATTATTCAAAAGAGGGATTGAAGTTACACGTGTATTTTACAATGATTGAGGAACCTATTGTTCAAATTTAATAAAAAGAAAGACCTAAAACAAAAGAAGAATCGAAGAAATAAGGGAGTCAGACACTTCGGCTAAAAAGAAACAATCTCGTTTTAATTTTCATTTTTTTATTATTCAAACCCAATAAATTTAAATTCGATTCATTTAAAACTTGAATTAAAAATTAAATTAAATCTATTAATTTAAATTTCAAAAATTAAACTAATTTGAATCAAATAAAATTTTATACACCCTTCAAAAGGAATAAATAAACGGAAAAGACCAAAAGAAAGCAAGCAATAAATAATTACATGAGCAGGTAAATAAACGGAAAGTAACCTTCAAAAGCATTAACTATTTTAAACACCAAAGTACAAAAATACATCAAATATATGATTTCTGGATTTTCTTTAACAGCTTTGTTTGTTCACGCAGAAACCATGCACGACAGAAGCATTTAAAACTTATGAATCTGTCCACAAACTTCCATCAAGCAGGGCAAAGCAAGGGTCCAAGCCATCATATATATATATATATATATATATATATATATATATATATATGCATATGCGTATGTGATGTAAGGCGATGTACACGCTTTGGTGAAAAGAAAGTAGATAGTCTTATTGTGTTCCGATTTAGGATTGACAAGTACTGATGTCCTTGAATTATAAGCTTGACTGCAACATAATAAGAAAGAAATGTGATTAATGATGGGTTTAAGAAATGAATAATAATATAAGTAATGGAAATAGAAAGAATAAGAATAGAGATGGCTGCGGAATTATGGAATTGGTGATGGTCTTGATGAAGGATGTTGATGATGATGAAATGGCAATGGTGGTGATGTTGTATCTCAAACGCGCCAAAGAGGAAACTATGCTATGAAGCACAATCCCGGTCTTCACAAACTTGCCTGAGGGGCGGTGATCGTGTCTTCAACCCACTAGATATCAATCTAGGAATCTTGGAATCAAAATGGAAGGAATGGCGCCACAAGTCTAGGAACTATACTTGTTTAATCGATAAAGTTCACAAAGAACTTTGAAGAGAAATTAACTCACAAGAGTAATTTTAATATATGAGATGAGATGAGATGAGTACAAATGATGGCAAGCCACTCTATTTATAGGAAATGAGAGGGCTTGGTCGAATGGATACATGATGTTTCGGCTAGATACATGTCTCTAGGAAGATACATAATGCTTCAAAATAAAAGAACATGTCTATAGGCTTGGTGTTGTTTCGACTAACCCTTCATAAAGGGACTTGATGATTCGACTAAGGATGGGAAGGCATCTCCCTTGGCCGAATGGTGATGCTTGTTCATCTTGGCGCCAAATGCTTCTCTTTGGCCAAATGGTGATGTGCCTCCTTATGTTGGCGCCAAATGCTCTCATGTGCATAGCATGTGTGTGGCCGAATATGTATGGAGCTTTATATCATGTTCCTTGATGATTTAAACCTCCAATGTTTACAATATCTTCATCAGCATGCTCTTGGATGTAAAGGCATCTTCATGGGCAGCATCATTCATGAAAGGTCACAATGTTTGAGAAATGTGTCCCTTCATGTTTGAGCTACTTATGGTGTGAATGAGCTAAAGGTGAGCTGGCTATAGGTGACTTGTATCATGGTGAACATTATGACAGCTCCTTGTGAAAAGGTACCTCTTGAGTTGGCAACTATTCACGAAAAGGTACGATTTCACAAATTTTGACTTAGGGCATATTTGAAGTGTCCTAAGTGGTGATGATGGTGCAGCTCCCCAGCTGAAATGAGGTCACCTTGTAGCTCAAATCTTCAGCTCAATCCAGCTATGAGCTCATGGCCTCAAAACAACTTTTCACCAATTTGCTTCTTATGCTCTCCTAATCGTTCCCATGTAAGTATCCTTGCTTTTACATGCTCCATTTAGCTCCAATGTAGCTCCCAAGTATTGGCCGAATGTGCCTACATGCATAACATAAATAAATAAACTAAGTAAATGAACTTATATAATGTATTATATAAGAATGTGAACTATAATATATTATGATAACTTATATTTCACATATTAATGGATAAGTAATCATCATAATAACTATAAATATAATATATGTAGATGAAAATAACTATAAAATAAGCATATATATGTGTAAAGTTAGAAAGTCTCTTCCCTTGTAAGGGTGGAATATCCATGATGTTGAATTGGATCACATCATCCTCCCATTCTTTTAATCGATTTGTCCTCAAATCGAAAGATCTTATTTTCCTTGAATCCTTCCATTCGATAAGTACCCTTATGAAAAGGTTCATATCTTTTGAAAGAATGCCTTGTAAGTTCTTGATCTGAAAAGAAAGGAAACTTTCATTAGTATGAATATGATCAAACAAAATTAAAGTTAAGAAATATTTCCTGAAAAATGTAGGTTCAAAGTTCATGTCTATTGAAGACATTTGGCTTTGAATGTTGGTGCCCTTTAGTATTCCAAAAATCATGCCCCTTTCCATAGATAGATGCATTGATTCATGAAAGGTGATGACTCTTGGAATAGTGATGTCCTCATAAGTCACGCCCTTTGGATGGAAAATCATTTCCCTTTGGTTTTCAATAGGCATGACTATTGATTCTTGATGGATCACGTCATTTGGATGAAGAGTTACCATTCTTTGCTCTTCAATAATCGCACCTCTTGGCTCTTGAAAAGTCATATCCTTTAGTTCACCAAATTGATGGATTGTGTTGCTTGATTCATCCTGCAAATCAAAGGAAACTATTGTATTGTTAAGGTTAGAAAAATCATCATCAACTTTGCGTCTTGTCAATAGACATCTTTGTAACAAGCACTTGTTTTTGGGCTGGTTTCCTCCTTTATTAACTTCGATTTTCCTTTCCTCATGGCCTCAATACTTTGTTTCATCTTGATTTGATCAATTTGGACTTGTTTAGGCGTCAAAGGTGTTAGGATGATCTCCTTCCCTCCATGGTTGAATGAATATTGATTGGTAAAACAATCATGAATGGTCCTCCTATCATATTGCCATGGTCTTCCAAGGAGTAAATGGCTAGCATGCATAGGAACAACATCGCACATAACCTCATCCTTGTACTTACCAATGGAGAAAGGAACCATCACCTGTTTGTTGACATTAAGTTCTCCTCATTCATTTAACCATTGTAATTTGTAGGGACTTGGATGCTTCAATGTTTTTAATCCCAATTTCTCCACCATAATGGTACTTGCTACGTTGGTACAACTTCCACCGTCTATGATCATGAAACATACCTTTTCATTCACATGGAAACGTGTATGAAAGATGTTTTCCCGTTGTGCATTGTCCTTTACCACTTGAGTACTTAGACTTCTTTTGACCACTAGGGCTTCACCTTCCACCGGAGCACCAATTTTAGCCTCTTCCTCAACTTCTGTTAGTGGTGGTGGCGCTTTTTTTTCTTCATGGTCAGATTCAATCTCACCATTTCCAAGTAGTAACATGGTGTTTCGGTTGGGACATTGTGTGGATACATGCCCCCTCCCAAGACATTTAAAACAACGGATGTCTCTTGATCATTCAAGGATCTTTTTTCCTCGATTATCATTGCTGAGTTGGGAAGCATTTGAGGATTCAACCTTTTTCTTGATAGGAGTAGGAGTAGACTTCTTCAAATTGTTAGGACTCCATCTTGAAGGCATGGTAGTGCGAGATATAGATCTTCTCCGTAGTTGCCTCTTTATCTTCATAGCCATTTGCACCATTTCATCAAGTTCTATGTAATGGTACAACTCTAGTGTGTTGGCAATCTCGGGATTAAGTCCGACAAGAAATCGAGCCATGGTTGCTTCACGATCCTCCTCAATATTAACTCGGATCATTGCCACTTTCATTTCCTTATAGTAATCCTCTACACTCCTTTAGCCTTGCTTTAGGTTATGCAATTTCTTAAACATGTCCTGGTGATAATGAGTAGGAATAAAACGTTTACGCATGATACCTTTCATTTCGAGCCATGTTGAAATTGGTCTTTCTCCATTCCTCCTCCGAGTAATAGTAAGTTTATCCCACCATATCAAAGCATAATCGACAAAATCCATGGCTGTCAATCTTACTTTCTTGAGTTCGGAATATTTATGGCAACTGAAAACATGTTCCACCTTGCTTTCCCATTCAAGATATGCTTCCCGATCAGTTTTTCCTTAA